TTTTTCATTCAGTTTTGTTTTTTAAATAAAATTTTAACCTTTTTTTGGTTTTTAATTTAATTTAAATAAGATTTGAAGAAAAAAAAAATAAAAAATGCCATGTACCAAAGAAAAATTAATTTAATAATGCCACATCAGCATTTTTTGTTAGATAAATTTACGATGTTAACGGAAGGACTTGAATACATCAATTTTATAAGTTTTAGGACTTGATTGCATTTTTTAGAATTTTAGGATTCAATGACACTTTCGTAACAAGTTTTATGACTTCTAGTACATTTATCCCTATGAAAATATTCTTGAACAAAAGTGGTCGTGATTTTTGTATTTACCTGAAACAAATGTTCTTTCATTTTAGACATTTCTGAACGCCATATTATCAAGTCATAGTTGTGCAAATCCAAGAGTAAACACTTGAAGCCAAGTGTCGGAAGTTGAACATTCTGTATTTGCCCTTGTTTGCTGTAAAAAAGGAAGCTGATGCCTTCTGCATGAGATCAATCAAGGTCTCTACCTTGTTATTTCTGGCTTTTTTGGATTTTCTCGTAGTTTCCTCTGAATTTCTTGAGGAATACCTGTAACTTACAATCCTGTTTCTTCTGATGGTAAAGAAAAGCAATGCCATCCCTCGAGTTAACCCACAATAACATGGGAATTCTTGATTACCTTCATCCTAAGAAAAAGCACCAAGTTTTCTCCGGATGGATTATTGATAAATGATTTAAGTAGAATCTCACTTCTAACTTGAAGGAAACAGATTCCTAGAAGTGCGGAAAGACGAAAACAAATTCCTAAACGACATAAAACTCGAACTAACGAGTATCGCCCAAAAATCGTATACGAAAAACGTACCCAGTATAAACTTGAATCACCGATCGTTAAAATACATCACCAAGAAGGACGTACCTTGTTTTCCATGGATTAAATGTTCCTTTTGCAACGTCGAGAGAGAGAACAATCCTTAGATCGTTGAACAAAATCCCTTCTTCTTTTTCCTTTTGTGAGAATAAGTTTCTGATAATGAAAAAATGCAAACCCACACACACTCTTACGTGTGTTCTTCACTTTTTTTTGTCTAGACAATAACTGCCAAGTGCAGTTATTTCCTTTCATGGGCTGGGTTAGCCCATCATGAGCGGCCCATCATTCACAAAGAAAACCCATCATCTCCCACTCGCACATGGTGGGCTAAACATTAACTCTCTCTTTTATGCAATGTTCATATCAACAAATAATCCGTGCGACCAGCATACTTCGAGAGCTCGTTGCTATGCATCTGTTAGGAACACATAGCAGCTCAAATTGGGCATTACGTTATCGAGTAGATATAGTATGCAATACCCTAGATCAATCAGTCACATTTATATCTCTCTTGATCTCTTTTAGTATCTCGTATATTGTATTCACAACTATGATTTACTCAAAATCATAATTGATCGACCTGTGAATACAAAAAAAATATGACATCACAAATAAATTGATCTTCCCCTTTCCTTAATCCTCTCCATTTCAGTTCAATTCGCTTTTCTAGAAATGCCTCATTAGATCGAATTATTCATGACCATTGGCAACACCCTAAGATAGCGAACACTGAATAGAAATTTTGAGAATAAGTTAGAGTCGTGAGGGCATTTAATGAGGAACTCTTATCCTCAAGAGTCTCACACGGCATAAAGTTGAGATCAAAAACTTTTGCCACTCTTATAGGTCGTTTTATGCATACGTAGTATGAAATACGTATTACGGCATTCTCTCCTTCCCCTAGGAGCGCATGTCTTTATACTTAATGCCGTATAGATGATAGTTTAGATATACTTAATATCTAGACTTGAGTTCACGTATCTGCTCTTTTAAAGAATTCATCAGAACTCACATCTGACATCATTGACAGATAAAGTAAAATATGTGGGTTATTTTACCTTCGGACATAGTAAATATTATATCCTCATCTTAATATTCAGTTAAGGCGACATTTGTAATTTAAGCTTGAGCTCTCAATTATCACCCAGATAATAAGCTTAAAAAAATTGTCTCATCTCTATTTATCGCACAGTAAATAGAGGCGATTACCCGTGTAAGTGGGCTAATCTCATCTGTTAGACATACTTTCTTGATATAATGCACTAAGCATTGAGATGCATAAATATTAAATAAATTCATAGGCATTAATAATGAGAGAGCAACTTCATTAAATGTGAACACTCAGGGAAAAATATAATATTCAGTACATCACTTTCTACGCAGTCCCAGAGATTTTACATGACCATAGAAAATATCTCTTGGAATTGGCTTCGTCATAGGATCAGCTATCATTTTTTGCGTAGATATGTACTGCAAGTTCACATATTTTCGTGCAACCATATCCTTGATAAAGTTATACTTGGTATCTATATGTTTGGTCTTGCCATGATATTTCGGATCCTTGGTGTATGCTATCGCTGCTTGACTATCACTATTGACTAACAATGAGTTTTCAGCATTCTTAGCAACACCTAAATGATCCAAAAATCTCTTAAGCCAAACACCTTCTTGTACTGCTCCTGACAACGCCACGAACTCAGCTTCCATCGTGGACAATGCTATACATGTTTGTTTCTTACTGCTCCAAGATATGGCGCCATTATTCAGTAAGTAAACAAAACCAGAGGTAGATTTCCTTTCATCTAAATCTCCTCCCCAATCAGCATCTGAGTAGCCTTCAAGTCGCAGATCCTTGCCTTGATAACTCAGTGAATAATTAGCAGTACCCTTTAGACACCTCATGATTCTTTTTACGGCTTTCCAATGTGCTTGACCTGGATTGGATTGGTACCTACTTACCATCCCAACTGCAAAACATATGTCAGGTCTTGTACACATCATAGCGTACATTAAACTTCCAAAAGCACTAGCATAAGAAACACGTTTCATTTGTTCCTTCTCTTGTGGAGTCTTAGGACACAACCTATGGCTCAATACTTCACCTTTTGCAATAGGAGTATCCATGGGTTTACAGTCTTGCATACAAAATCGTTCAAGAACTTTATTTATATAAGTCTCTTGCGAAAGAGACAATAATCTCTTGGAACGATCTCTTGAAATCTTAACTCCAAGAATATATGCAGCCTCACCCATATCTTTCATCTCAAAATTGGACGATAACCAACTCTTAATAGTATTAACCAACTCCATATTGCTTCCGGCAATCAGTATATCATCAACATATAATGATAAAATCACAAATTGATCTTTGGATCTTTTGATATACACGCAATGATCTTCATCAATCATTGTAAAATCAAACGCCACTATGGCATTATAAAAACGTATATACCATTGTCTCGAAGACTGCTTAAGGCCATATATCGATCTTAGAAGTCGACATACTTTTTGTTCTTGGCCTTTCACAATGAAGCCTACTGGCTGCTCCATGTAAATTTCTTCTTCTAATTCTCCATTTAGAAAAGCAGTCTTTACATCCATTTGATGTAATTCAAGATCCATGCTTGTCACTATTGCCAGAATAAGGCGAATTGAGGTAAATCTCACTACATGAGAGAAAGTTTCTTCATAATCAATTCCTTCCTGTTGATTATACCCTTTCGCCACTATGCGAGCTTTATATCTTTCTATTGAGCCATCGGATTTGCGTTTTATTTTGAGAACCCATTTATTCCCAATAGCTTTGCGTCCTTCTGGAAGATTAACCAGTTCCTAAACATGGTTTGACTTTATTGACTCCATTTCTTCTTTCATTGCAATCATCCATTTTTCTTTGTTAGGGCAATTTAGAGCCTCATTTACATTCCTTGGCTCGTCTTCATTTTGTGGAGCGATCATGAAAGTTTCCCCTTCAATGTCAAAATGTCGTCGGGGAATACTTTTGCGACTTGTTCGCCGTATGGGAGATTGCACACGTGGTATATCATTCTCCATTATGCTCCCACTTGGATTAGATAATGACGGAATCGTCTCATCAAAAGGTTGCAATTGAGATTGAGTCGAATTCAATTCTTCACTTCTCACATTGCTTCCACTTGGACGAACTTTATCGATTTCACTATCAGGATCCAAGGTTTCAAATAGTGAGTAGTTCTCGCCTATTTCGCCCTTCTTAGGAAACTCATTCTCTAAGAATGTGACATCTCGTGATTCAAATTCAGTTATACTCCCACTTTCTTGCTCACCTATAAATACATATCCTTTTGAGGTTTCCGAATACCTTATGAAGATACTCTTCTTACCTCTAGGACCTAATTTCCCATACTTATGAGAAGATTCATGTGTATAAGCGGCACAACCCCAAGGTTTCAGAAAACTCAAAACGGGTTTTCTACTTGTCCATAACTCATACGGAGTGGAAATAACTGATTTAGAAGGCACACGGTTAAGTATGTAGGCAGCAGTTAATAAAGCGTCACCCCAAAAGGTGATTGGTAAGTTAGCCTGCGCCATCATGGACCTAACCATTTCTAGTAGGGTTCTGTTTTTCCTTTCCGCAACACCATTTTGTTGAGGAGTATAGGGAATAGACAACTGTCTTTCTATTCCCTTTTCATCACACAAATTTCTGCACTCATCAGATAGATATTCTCGACCTCGATCGGATCTCAATGCTTTTATTTTCTTATCTAATTGATTTTCCACCAAGTTCATAAATATCTTGAAGCAACTAAAAGCCTCAGATTTATGAGAAATCAAATAGACATATCCGAATCGAGTATAATCATCAATAAATGTGACAAAATAAACAGCCCCATGTCTAGCCCTCACATTTATTGGACCACAAATGTCAGAATGGATTAACTGCAAAGGAAATTCAGCTCTTGTTCCTTTTCCAAATGGTTTCCTTGTTGTTTTCCCAGCTAGGCAGTGTTCACAAGTGGGCAAATCGACTTTTTCAATATTGCCCATTAAGCCTTCTTTGGCTAATCTATTCATTCGTTGTTGGCCTATATGGCCAAGCCTAGCATGCCATACGTTCACATCATTATCACACGAAGTAGAAGACGTGAAGTGGGAATAACAAACATTGACATTTACAGAATCAACATCCAGTACAATAAAACCATCTAGAAAATAACCACAACCATAATAACTCGTACCTAAATACAAGTCTACACCATTGTTATGGAAGTTCAAATTAAAACCAAGTCGAATCAACACTAAAACAGACACTAAGTTCCGACGAATTTCCGGAGCATATAATACATCATGTAGGAACAAAGTGCGTCCACCACGCATAATTAATTGGCAGGTGCCAATTCCTTTAACCTCAGCTCTGGAGTTGTTCCCTACATAAATCCATTTAGTTCCCGTTGGAACTCGTCGGAATTCTACGAAGGCTTCTCTATCCTTCGCTACATGGTCTGTTGCTCCCGAATCTACAGTCCATAAAGGATTTGATTCAGTTAGAAATATAGAACTTGATACATAAACAAAGTTCTCAATAATACAAGATGAGTTAACCTTCTTTGGCTCACGACAATCGCGAGCAAAGTGGCATTTCTTGCTACAGTTGTAGCACTTCACTCTTGACATCTTTTTCTCATGAGGACGCTTTCCTTCTTTGGTGTTGTTCATCTCTTGGTTTCTTCCTCGAAGAACTCGCTCTCTTACCTCTCCACCTTCTGAACGAATCAGGACGCTTGCGCTTAGAGCTCGAAGGCCCTTGTGAGCTAGAACCTGCATAGTAAATGTCAATTACCGGCTTATCCGCCAGGAGACGGTCCTCCTCTAGCTCTAAGTGGCGCACTGCATCCTCAAAGGTTTTGATGTTCTCATTGTGAGTTAGGTGCAACTTCATATGCTCCCAACTTTGAGGCAAAGAACGAATCACTGCTTGCACTTGCTGCTCATCAGTCAGAATATGGCTAGCATCCTTCAGCTCATTAATCATGTTTGACATTTTCCTTAAATGTTGTTTCATGGACTGACCATGTGGCTTCTTATATGAGTCAAATCTTATAGTGAGCTGTCTAAGCTTGGTTACAGATGTATGACCAAACCTTGCTGCCAATGCTCCCCACATCTCTTTAGCATTTTCAAAACGCCTAAACTCTCGCACGACATCATTTTCCATGCTACTCAGCAACGTGATGCGAGCAAGGGAGTTCTTCCTTTTCCATACAGCAAATGCATCCTTATCTCTCTTATGTTGTGCAGTGTTTCCGTCTTCAGGCTCTACCATAACCAGGTTAAGAGCTTCAAGAGCCTCTTGCTCTTCCAGCACATATTGGATTTTCATATGCCAAATTTCATAATTATCACCGTTAAGCGTCTCTCTTTTGTTCAGTTCAACAACTATATTCTTTGATGCTGAAGCCATGGTATCTGAGCATTTCATATATATACGCACGAATTATTAATGCCACTCATTTATGCATCAATTTTACACAAACTGATTATATTAATGAATAATTTCACATCGGCTTTAGATTCGAAAGTTCACTATGTTCCCAATCATCATAAAAAAAACTAATGTGAAATTACCGTTAATGTAATCATTAAGGTAAAATTACGTTCTTTAAAGTTACTAAAACTTTTAGAACTCCCACTCAACTCCATATGATACTAATAAGATAAATATTAAAACAGAATAGTACTATAAACTATTCACAACATGAATATCCATCAACATTCATTTACCTAACACTATGTACATAAGGAATGAATCCATCAAAGGAAATAAACATAAACACCAACATAAAAAGAACTATCCACCCAAGATATTTAACACCAACCTATAGTGAACATATCCATAAGAGCTTACGAAAAAAAAAGATAAACACAATCAGGTGGTGATCCTCTTTCTATAAACCGGAAATGACTCATGAAAATCCTCAGGAAGTTCTATTTTCTTTGGCATCCAAATGGAGGCACCCGGAAAACCCCTAGATTCGGGCAACGTATTGCGCCGAGACCGATTCAATGCAGGGGTTGACGTCCATCTTGCCCCGACCCGTATGTACTCTATCATGAATTGCTCCACAATCATCTTATAGCTCGGACCTTCTAAGGTGTCCCTAACCCTATCAATCATTCTTCCCAACTCATCAGGAATGGTGCATTTGAGGGCTCCGACCATCACATACTCTGGCATTACGAAACCGTTCCAAATGATATCTTGTATCATTTGGTTGACCTTAATGATGTGTGTCATCATGTCATCATCAGCATCCCACCGGTAAAGAGCTAGCTTGATTCTTAGTTTCTCAAGCTTCTTCTTTTGAGCCGCCGTTCTAGGGATAATAGGAGTTCGATATCTTCGTACCATTATTCCTGCAACAAATGCAGAAAAATAAAAGGATTACTCATAATCCAAGGTACAAAATTTTTTTTTTTGTTCGCCGGTCAATGCCGGTCAACGCAGGTCAACGATGGTCAACGCCGGTCAATGGTCAACGGGTCAAGTCTACGGGTTGGGTGGACTATCGGGTCAAGTCGGGTCTGAAAAACCCGGTTGAGCAACCGCATAGCTGACGTCAGCGTGACGTCAGCCACGCCGCACACGCCCTCATGGCGCGTGCGGTGCACGCGCGCGGGGAGGAACCGCCACGCACGTGCCACGCACGTGCCGGCAAGACCGCCACTTGCGGCGGCGCGTGTGGGCGTGCGGCTCCTCCCTGCAGCGTGCCACCCATCAAAATTCTCGTTTCGACGAGTACTACGACCCTACAGTTTTAAAATTTAATTTTACCGCACGGAATTTCGAAAAACAATGCGGACCAGTATTGTCGGGTGTCGGTATTTCGTACCCGAGCGTTCGTCGGCGCCGTTTCACGAATTCCGGCCAATATTCCGTGTTATGCACACTAGCAACGATCAGGAAACAAGAACACTCGCTCTGATACCAATGAAGGAAACAATTTCCTAGAAATGCGAAAAGACAGAAACAAATTCCTAAACGACATAAAACTCGAACTAACGAGTATCGCCCAAAAATCGTATACGAAAAACGTACCCAGTATAAACTTGAATCACCGATCGTTAAAATACATCACCAAGAGGGACGTACCTTGTTTTCCACGGATTAAATGTTCCTTTTGCAACGTCGAGAGAGAGAACAATCCTTAGATCGTTGAACAAAATCCCTTCTTCTTTTTCCTTTTGTGAGAATCTGATAATGAAAAATACAAACCCACTCACACTCTTACGTATGTTCTCACTTTTTTGTGTCTAGACAATAACTGCCAAGTGCAGTTATTTCCTTTCATGGGCTGGGTTAGCCCATCATGAGCGGCCCATCATTCACAAAGAAAACCCATCATAACTCACTAATCAGTGAAGTCACTGGTAAAATAATCGTTGCTGCCTTCGAGAGATATAAAAGGAATGGAGAAGGAACATGAGGAGTCTGAAAAACGGTTTCATTGTGATTCCCAAAGCTTAGCAAGAAATGAAACTAATGTAGCAAAGTAAAGATTATGCTTTGTCCCCTGCTTGTTCGGTGAAAGAAATAATTCCTTCCATGGTCACGAGCAACTACCTTTCCCTTGTCCCACTTCCCATCTCAAGTTATTCCCTCTTTTTTCCTGTTTTGGTCCTTTTCTTTGGTAAATAGCGGAAAGCTATTACCTGTTAACCCACTCAGAAAACTTCATATTGAACCCAAACAAAGTAATGGCCGAGTCTTCTGTTGATAATGGAAGGTATCAACAACATTCTCTTTCACTATGCAAAGCTTGCAGCTCTGTGTTCCCATTTTTCATGGACAATCAAATATTTGTTGTTTCCCCCTAGTTCTTCTCTGCCTTTTGCCTTCGATGCCTGGGATCATCAAGTACCAAATTCTCTTTGCCAATCCTTGTAAGCGTCATTCGTAAAGTTTTTCCAACTTCTATTTAAAATGGCAGTTTATTAGTATTCAGATATCTTCACCATATCTTCAATCTATTCCAATATCATTTCATCGTAGTAATGCAAAACTCTCCGGGTAGATTCATGTCTGATGACATGAAAGATTTGATATTTAAAGTGCAATCTTGGGAAAAGAGCATGCTGGATATGTTCACCAACATTCAAACCAATGTTAACCTTGTTGAGGACAAGCTTGGCGAGTTAGAGCGCATTGTGAAAGATTACCGGAAGAGTAGGAAGGCCAAACACCGACAGCGACAGAAGGCAGTTCAACCTCCGATAATCTCAAAAGAATGGCTTGAGCTGGCAAAAGAACACATATTTAAGAACCATCTTATGAAGAACCTTCAGCTTTGTTATCACAATATAGAGAGTCCTCAGTTGAAGCTATGCCTTCTTTCTTTTGCAATTTTCCCCGAAAATTCCATCATAAAGAAGAGAACTTTAATATATTGGTGGATAGGAGAGGGCTTAGTTTCCCAAAGAGGAGGCGAGACGGCAGAGCAAGTAGGTGAAGAAGTCTATGATAAGCTCAGAAAACAAGGCCTAATTGAACCCGTCATTGACGACCCAAGCTCTCTCATGAACAGATGTAAAATGAACCCATGCATCCGTTACATGCTTATCTCGTTGGTGCAAGAAGCGGGTTTCTTCTATTTCAATTTGAAGGATGAAACATCTCCTGAAGTTCTCCAAAAGTGCTCCTTCAGCAGCAGTCGCCTGCACTTATTAGGTGGAGCAAACAGTCTACCAGATAGAAAGCTGGCTAAAGTTGAAGATATCTCCACGGTGTTCAATGTTAATCAGGAATACCTTAGTCTACCACCCCGATGGCTTTTGAACATGAAAAGATTGGCGGTTCTTCAACTAGGATGATGGCTGCATGCGCCAGGCTATCATATTGAAGTTGATGATCAGAGGTTCTTGGAAGATCTTGGGGTTAATCATAAGAATTTGAAGTTCCTAAGTCTTCGAGGAATTTCTAGGATCACGACTCTTCCTAATTCTATTGTCCAACTAGTCAGCCTAGAGATTCTTGACCTCCGAGCGTGCCACAATTTGGAAAAGTTGCCTGAGGATATAGCATCATTGAAGAAGCTCACGCATTTGGATGTATCAGAGTGTTACCTTATAGAGCGCATGCCGAAAGGGACTGAGAAACTGTCCTCCCTCCAGGTCTTAAAGGGTTTTGTTATAGGGACTGCGAGGAAAAACCCTTGCAGGATCAGTGATTTGCGAAAATTGACTAAACTGAGACGGCTAAGTATATACATAGGTCGTGGAGCAGCCATATGGGATACAGAATTTACATTGTTGAGGGAATTTGTGTCTCTTCGCTCTCTGACCATCTCATGGGGAGTTACTAGAGAGCATGCAAAGCCTTCGGTACTTTGGGATTTTCCACAAGAACTGGAGAAATTAGAGCTCATAGGGATGCCAGAGGAGACAAAACCAGAATTGAAGAAAGTAAAGAAGCTGTACATCATTGGAGGGAAAGTGGCAAGATTGGATCAACTGCAACAGACTGACCGTTCATCAGTTGAGATATTACGGTTGAAACACCTTAAGCAGTTGAAAATTGGAAACATGGAAGACGTGCTGAAATACTTTCCTCGGTTAGAATACTTCGAGAAGGAAAATTGTGCTGACGACAATATGTTGTGGTCCAAAAGCAGGGGTATACTGACAGTCTCTAA